AGAGACCCCAGAGCTCCCCAGACCCCTCCTAGGACCCCGGAACTCCCCGACCTTCCCGGAGCCCCCAGACCCCTCCCGGAGCTCCTCGGACTGCTCCAGACCTTCTTGGACCACCCCAGACCACTCCTGGACCCCCGGGACCTCCGGAGCTCCCAGACCCCCCTCGGAGCCCCCTCGGTCTCGCCCCCTCGGCACTCCTCAGCGGCTGCATCATCCATCGCCGCCCCCCGTCCCGCCGCTTGCCTGGGGGTAATTTAGAGGTAATTTGGGAGGTAATTTGGGGGTGGGGGTGAGATGTCGGACACACCCGGACCCCTCCCGGAGCTCCCCGACCCAACCCTCCCCGAGATCCCTGGAGCTCCCAGACCTTCCCGGACTCTCCCGGTGCCCCCAGACCCCTCCTGGACCCCCAGAGACCCCCGGCACTCCCCCGACCTTCCCGGAGCACCCCGGACCCTTCCTGGACCCCCCCAGAGACCCCGGCACTCCTCTGACCTTCCCGGAGCCCCCTCAGAGCCCCCAGACCACCCCAGACCCCTCCTGGCCCCCCAGAGAACTCCGGAGTTCCCCTGACCCCTCCGGAGCCCTCAGACCCCTCCTGGACCCCCACCGAGACCCCCGAAGCTCCCCGACTTTCCCAGAGCCCCCTTGGAGCCCCAGCCCACCCCAGAACCCTCCTGGCCTCCCCAGATCCCTCCCAGCCCCCCGGAGCCCCCAGACACCTCCACAACTCCTCCCCACTCGCTCCCGGACCTCCCAGCCCCTCCCAGAGCCCCTGGGCCCCCACAACCTCCCAGACCCTCTCCAGAGCCCCGGACCTCCCCTGACCTCTCCACAGCCCCCCAGGCCCCTCCCGGAGCCCCTGACCCCCGACCTCTCCACAGCCCCCAGACCCCTCCCGGAGCCCCCGGACCCTCCCGAAGCTCCCCAGATCCTCCCGGAGCCCCTCAGACTTTCAGGACCCTCCTCCCGGCCCCTCCCGGACCCCTCCAGACCCCCAGACCCCTGGTCCCGGCTCACCTTTGCTTTGCGGGGTCTCGGTGGTGCTCGTCCTGGCCTTTCCCTGGGGGGGCGGAGGGTAGGGGAGCAGTCGTTAGGGAGGGGTTTAGAGGTGCAGTTTGGGGGCAGTCTTGGTAGTTAGGGGCAGTCTGAGGCGGTCGGGTAGGGTTAGTGGGTTTTGAAAGGGGCAGTTTGGGGCGGTTTTTGGGTAGTTTGGGGGCAGTCTGAGGCAGTCTGGGTTAGGGTTAGGGGTGGGTTTTGGGGAAAGGGGCAGTTTGGGGGCGGTTTTTGGGTAGTTTGGGGGCAGTCTGAGGCAGTCTGGGTTAGGGTTAGGGGTGGTTTTGGGAAGGGGCATTTGAGTGGTTTGGGAGGTTTAGGCAGTTTTGAGTAGTTTGGTGGTCAGTTTTGGGGCAGTCTGGGTTAGGATTAGGGTGGTGTTTGGGAAGGCAGTTTAGGGCAGTTTGGGGCAGTTGGAGTCGGTTGGTAGTAGAGGAAGGGCAGTTTAGGGCAGGGCAGTTTTGAGGTAGTTTGGGGGCGGTTTTGGGGAGGTTTAGGGCAGTTTTGAGGTAGTTTGGGGGTGGTTTGGTGCACTTTTGGGGCAGTCTGGGTTAGGATTAGGGGTGGTTTTGGGGAAGGGGCAGTTTTGGGATGGTTTTGGGGTGGTTTGGGGGCAGTTTGGGAGAGTTTAGCAGTAGTTTGGGGGCGGCAATGACACGAGGGGACAGACGTGGGGACATGCAGGGACGCAGGACAGACATGGGGACACTCAGGGACAGACATGGGGACACACAGGGACACAGGACAGACAGGGGGACACACAGTGGACACAAGGACAGACGTGGGGACACGGGATGGACATGGGGACACACAGGGACACGGGACAGACATGGGGACACAGGATGGGGACATGGGGACACACAGGGACAGACATGGGGACACACAGGGACATGGGACAGATACAGGGACAGACATGGGGACACACAGTGCCACAGGACAGACATGGGGGACATGGGATGGACATGGGGACACACAGGGACACGGGACAAACATGGGGACACACAGGGACAGACATGGGGACACACAGTGCCACAGGACAGACAGGGGGACACGGGATGGCCATGGGGACACACAGTGACACGGGACAGACATGGGGACACACAGTGACACGGGACAGACATGGGGACACGTGACACAGGACAGACATGGGGACACACAGGGACAGACATGGGGACACACAGGGACACAGGACAGACATGGGGACACACAGTGACACAGGACAGACAGGGGGACACGGGATGGCTCTGGGGACACACAGGGACATGGGGACACAGTGCCACAAGGACAGACGTGGGGACACAGGATGGCCCTGGGGACACCCAGGGACACGGGACAGACATGGGGACACACAGTGACACAGGACAAAAATGGGGACACTCAGGGACAGACATGGGGACACACAGGGACACAGGACAGACGTGGGGACACAGGATGGACATGGGGACACACAGTGCCACAAGGACAGATAGTGGGGACACAGGATGGCCATGGGGACACACAGGGACATGGAATGGCCATGGGGACACACAGTGCCACAGGACGACCCTGGGGACACCCAGGACCGGTTTCCCCACAGGACCGCGGCCCAGCCCGCAGGGGGAGGGGGCGGGGACGGAGGGCGGGGACACCCCCGAGCCGTCTCGTCCCAGTCCCACCCACCTCTCCTGTCCCTCCTGTCGCCCTCGTCGTCGTCGCCGCCCGCGCCCAGCAGGGTGAAGATGATGCCGCTCTGCGAGTTGGCGCCCACGGCCGTCACCACCATCCTGCCCGAGCCCTCCATCACGTGCGTGCCTGTGCCGGGGGGGGTGTTGGGGACACACACGGGGGGTGTCACAGCGGGATACCCCTCCCCACACACCCCCCGAGCCCCCCCCGGGTGTCCCCTCACCCGAGAGCAGCAGCGGGTCCTTGTCCGGGCTCTTGCGCACGTGGTCGGACTCGCCGGTCAGGGCGCTCTCGTCGATCTTCAGGTCATTGCCCTGGATCAGGACCCCGTCGGCGGGCAGGAGGTCACCTGGGGGGGGTGTGGCACCTCTGTGTCACCTCTGTGTCACCTGTGTCACCTCTGTGTGCCCGTGGAGCTGGCACAGGGGCTGTGTCACCTCTGTGTCACCTCTGTGTCACCTCTGTATGCCCTGGTGTGCCCGTGGAGCTGGCACAGGGGCTGTGCCACCTCTGTGTCACCTCTGTGTCACCTGTGTCGCCTCTGTGTGCCCTGGTGTGCCCGTGGAGCTGGCACAGGGGCTGTGTCACCTCTGTGTCACCTCTGTGTGCCCATGGAGCTGGCACTGGGGCTGTGTCACCTCTGTGTCACCTCTGTGTCACCTCTGTATGCCCTGGTGTGCCCGTGGAGCTGGCACAGGAGCTGTGTGACCTCTGTGTCACCTCTGTGTCACCTCTGTGTCACCTGTGTCACCTCTGTGTGCCCTGGTGTGCCCACAGAGCTGGCACTGGGCTGTGGCACCTCTGTGTCACCTCTGTGTCACCTGTGTCACCTCTGTGTGCCCTGGTGTGCCCACAGAGCTGGCACTGGGGCTCTGTCACCTCTGTGTCACCTCTGTGTCACCTGTGTCACCTCTGTGTCACCTCTGTGTCACCTGTGTCACCTCTGTGTGCCCTGGTGTGCCCTGGTGTGCCCATGGAGCTGGCACTGGGGCTGTGTCACCTCTGTGTCACCTCTGTGTCACCTCTGTGTGCCCTGGTGTGCCCGTGGAGCTGGCACTGGGGCTGTGTCACCTCTCTGTGGGCAGCTGTGCCAGGTGGTGCCCCCCTCCCCAGTGCCCTCCAACCCCTCCCCCATGCCCCCCACTCACCGTACTTGACCTGTACCACGTCCCCCACCACGACCTCAGCCATGGGCAGCTGTGCCAGGTTGTGCCCCCTACCCTCTCCCATGCCCCACGCCCTCCCTGTGCCCCCACTCACCGTGCCTGACCTGGGTGACCCCCTGTGCCCCCAGCCCTTCCCTGTGCCCCCACTCACCGTACTTGACCTGCACCACGTCCCCCACCACGAGTTCGAGCCGTGGGCAGCTGTGCCAGGCTGTGCCCCACCCTCTCCCCATGTCCCCCACCCTCTCCTGTGCCCCCATGCCCTCCCTGTGCCCCCACTCACCGTACTTGACCTGCACCACGTCCCCCACCACAGGCTCTGCCGTGGGCAGCTGTGCCAGGCTGCCCCCACCCTCTCCCATTGCCCCCACTCACCGTACTTGACCTGCACCCACGTCCCCACCGCGACCTCGGCCATGGGCAGCTGTGCCAGGCTGTGCCCCACCCTCTCCCCATGCCCCCACGCCCTCCTGTGCCCCCCACTCACCGTGCTTGACCTGGTTGACCCCTGTGCCCCCAACCCTTCCCGTGCCCCCACTCACCGTGCTTGACCTGCACCACGTCCCCACCACGAGCTCTGCCGTGGGCAGCTGTGCCAGGCTGTGCCCCACCCTCTCCCCATGTCCCCCACCCCAGTGCCCCCAGCCCTTCCCGTGCCCCCACTCACCGTGCACTTGGCCTGCACACGTCCCCCACCACGGAGCTCAGCCGTGGGCAGCTGTCTGAGCTGTGCCCCACCCTCTCCCCATGTCCCCCATCCCCTTTCTGTGCCCTCCACTCACTGTACTTGACCTGGATGACCCCCAGTGCCCCCACTCACCGTGCTTGACCTGCACCACGTCCACCACCAGCTCGGCCGTGGGCAGCTGTGCCAGGCTGTGCCCACCCAGTGCCCCCATGCCCTCCTGTGCCCCCATGTTCCCCATCCCCTTTCTGTGCCCCACTCACCGTGCTTGACCTGGATGACCCCAAATGCCCCCACTCACCGTGCTCGACCTGCACCATGTCCCCCACCACGAGCTCGGCCGTGGGCAGCTGTGCCAGGCTGTGCCCCCCACCCTCTCCCCACACCCTCCCTGTGCCCCCCACTCACCATATTTGGCCTGCACCACGTCTCCCACCACGAGCTCTGCCGTGGGCAGCTGTCTCAGGCTGTGCCCCCACCCTCTCCCCACACCCTCCTGTCCCCCCACTCACCGTGCCGGCCTGGATGACCCCCTGTGCCCCCACTCACCGTACTTGACCTGCACCACGTCCCCCACCACGAGCTCAGCCGTGGGCAGCTGTGCCAGGCGGCCCCTCCTCAGGACGGCCACGCGCTGCTCGCTCTCCAGGCGGTTCTGCAGCCCCCGGAACTGCCTCTCCTTGCTCCAGTCGTTGGAGGCCGTGACCAGCACCACGCAGGCCACCGAGAGCAGGATGGCAGCGCCCTCGATCCACCCGGCCTCCGCCTCGCCCTCGTCCTCCGCTCCGCCCGACGCGTGGCCGCACACTGCGGGGGGACGGGGACGCGAGGTCAGGAGGGGGGACACGGCCAGGGGACACAGGGACACGGGGTCAGGCGGGGGGACATGGTCAGGGGGCAGGGGACACGGCCAGGGGACACAGGGACACGGGGTCAGGGGTGGGGACACGACGCCAGGGACATGGGGATGAGGGACAGAGGGACATGGCATAGGGGACAGAGGACACTGAGGTCAGGCGAGAGGAGACACAGTGTGAGGACAGGGAACACAGCATAGGGACAGGGGACATGGCCAGGGACCAGGAGGATCACAGGGTCAGGCGGGGACACGGCTCAGGGGCAGGGGACCATGGCCAGGGGCAGGGGACATGGTGTGAGGACAGGGGACACAAGGTGTGGGGACAGGGGACTACGGTGTCAGGGGTGGGGACACAGCCAGGGGACAGGGGACACAGCCAGGGGGCAGGGGACACGGTGTGGGGACAGGGACATGATGTCAGGGGTGGGGACACGGCCAGGGGACACAGGGACACGGGGTCAGGCGGGGGACATGGTCAGGGGGCAGGGGACACGGGTGTGGGGACAGGGGACATGGCCGGGGGCAGGGGACACAGGGTCAGGCAGGGGGACACAGGGGTCAGAGCGGGGGGACACGGGGTCAGGCGGGAGGACACGGCCAGGGAGCAGGGGACACGGGGTCAGGCGGGGGACACGGTGTCAGGGGTGGGGGACACAGCCAGGGGGCAGGGGACAAGGGGATAGGGACAGGGGGCGTGGCATGGGGGCAGGGGACACGGCATGGGGACAGGGGACACGGTGTCAGGGGTGGGGACATGGCCAGGGGCAGGGGACACGGCATGGGGGCAGGGGACACGGTGTGGGGACAGGGGACATGGGGATGGGGGCAGGGGACACAGGGTGGGGACAGGGACAGTGTCAGGGGTGGGGACATGGCCAGGGGGCAGGGACACGGTGTGGGACAGGGGACACGGGGTTAGGGGTGGGGACATGGTATGGGGACAGGGGACAGGGGATGGGGACAGGGGACAAGGTGTGGGGACAGGGGACACGGCGTGGGGACAGGGGACACGGTGTCAGGGGTGGGGACATGGCCAGGGGCAGGGGACACAGCATGGGGATAGGGACAAGGTGTCAGGGGTGGGGACACGGTATAGGGGACAGGGGACATGGGGATGGGGACAGGGGACACGGTGTCAGGGGTGGGGACACAGCCAGGGGACACAGTAAGACATGGGGATGCAGCACGGGGACAGGGGACATGGGGACAGGGTGTCACCTGTGGGGACATGGTGTCACCCGTGTGGGCATGGCACAGGGACACGGTGTCACCCGTGGGGACACAGAGGTGGCATCTGGGTGGGCACGGGGGTGTCACCTTCGTCGTGGGCGCCGGGGGAGGCATCAAAGGAGAGCCCAAGGGACAGGGGGGTGACACATCAAGATGGGGACAGGGGGGTGACACATCAAGATGAGGACAGGGGGTGACACCAGGCCGGGTTGGGGACACTGGGATGGGGACAGGGGATGACACATCGGGATGGGAGCACAGAGGAGTGACACTGGGATGGGGACGGGGGGTGACAAGGGGCCGGGATGGGGACACTGGGATGGGGACACAGAGGGTGACACTGGGATGGGGACAGGGGGTGACAAGGGGCCGGGATGGGGACACTGGGATGGGGACAGGGGGTGACACATCGGGATGGGGGCACAGAGGGTGACACTGGGATGGGGACAGGGGGTGACAAGGGGCCGGGATGGGGACACTGGGATGGGGACAGGGGGTGACACATCAAGATGGGGACAGGGGGTGACAAGGGGCCGGGATGGGGACACTGGGATGGGGACAGGGGGTGACACATCGGGATGGGGACAGGGGGAGACACCAGGCCAGGCTGGGCTGGGGGCACTGGGATGGGGACAGGGGGTGACACTAGACCAGGCTGGGGACACTGGGGTGGCATTGGGATGGGGACAGGGGGTGTCACCTTCGTGTGGGCGCCAGGGGCAGGGTATAGAAGGACAGCCCGAGGGACAGGGGGGGTGACCAGGCCGGACTGGGGACACTGGGATGGGGACAGGGGGGACACATTGGGATGGGGACACAGGGGGTGGCCCATGGGGGTGTCACCTTCGTCGTGGGTGCCGGGGGGGGCGTAGAAGGACAGCCCCAGGGACACGAGGGGGACACCTTGGGATGGGGACAGGGGGTGACACCAGGCCAGGCTGGGGACATTGGGATGGGGACAGGGGGGTGACACATCGGGATGGGGACACAGGAGGTGGCCCATGGGGGTGTCACCTTCGTCGTGGGCACCGGGGGAGGCATCAAAGGAGAGCCCGAGGGACACGGGGGTGACACATCGGGATGGGGACGGGGGGGACACCAGGTCAGGCTGGGCTGGGGACACTGGGATGGGGACAGGGGGTGACACCAGGTTGGGATGGGGACACTGGGATGGGGACAGGGGGTGACACCAGGCTGGGTTGGGGACATTGGGATGGGGACAGGGGGTGACACATCGGGATGGGGACACAGGAGGTGGCCCATGGGGGTGTCACCTTCGTCGTGGGCGCCAGGGGGGGGCGTAGAAGGACAGCCCGAGGGACACGAGGGGGACACCAGGCCAGGCTGGGGACATGGGGATGGCATTGGAATGGGGACAGGGGGTGACACCAGGCCGGGCTGGGGACATGGGGATGGCATTGGGATGGGGACAGGGGGTGACACCAGGCCAGGCTGGGGACATTGGGATGGGGACAGGGGGGTGACACCACGCTGGGCTGGGGACATGGGGATGGCATTGGAATGGGGACAGGGGGTGACACATCGGGATGGGGACAAAGGGGGTGACACTGGGATGGGGACAGGGGGTGTCACCTTCGTCGTGGGCGCCGGGGGGGGCATAGAAGGACAGCCCCAGGGACACGAGGGCGGCGGCCTCGAGGATGACGAGGGTGACGTCCTGCAGGGCCTCCCACACCAGCGCCAGGAAGCTCTTGGGGCGCTTGGGGGGGATCCAGTTCTTCCCAAACTCCTGCCGGCGCCGCTCCAGCTCCGACGGACCCTCCGACAGCCCTGGGGGGCACCCCGGGGTCACCCCAAAACCCTCCTGAAGGGCACCCTGGGGTCACCCCAAACCCCTCCTGGGGCACCCCGGGGTCACCACAAACCTCTCCGGGGGGGGCACCCCGGGGTCACCCCAAACCCCTCCTGGGGGGTCAACCCAAACCTCTCCTGGGGGCACCCCAGGAGTCACTCCAAGCCTCTCCTGGGGCACCCCGGGGGTCACCCCAAACCCCTCCTGGGGGGTCACCCCAAACCCCTCCTGGGGGGGGCACTGGGGTCACCCCAAACCCCTCCTGGGGCACCCCGGGGTCACCCCAAAACCCTCCTGGAGGGCACCCTGGGGTCACCACAAAACCCTCCTGGGGGCACCCGGGGTCTACCCAAACCCTCTGGGGGGCACCTCTGGGGTCACCCAAACCCTCCTGGGGGCATTCGGGACCCCAAACCCCTCCTGGGGCACCCTGGGGTCACCCCAAACCCCTCCTGGGGGGTCACCCCAAACCCCTCCTGGGGGGCACCCCGGGGTCACCCCAAACCCCTCCTGGGGGGGAATTGGGGACACCCCAAACCATTCCTGGAGGGGCGTTGGGACCCCAAACCCCTCCTGGGGCACCCCGGGGTCACCCCAAACCCCTCCTGGGGGGTCACCCCAAACCTCTCCTGGGGGGGGCACTGGGGACACCCCAAACCCCTCCTGGGGGGGCATTGGGGACACCCCAAACCCCTCCTGGGGCACCCTGGGGTCACCCCAAACCCCTCCTGGAGGGCACCCTGAGGTCACCCAAACCCTCCTGGAGGCACCCAGGCACACCAAACCCTCCTGGGGAGTCACCCCAAACCTCCTGGGGCACTGGGGTCACCCCAAACCCCTCCTGGGGCACCCTGGGGTCACCCCAAGCCCCTCCTGGGGCCCATCCTGGGGTCACCCCAAACCCCTCCTGGGGGGGAATTGGGGACACCCCAAACCCCTCCTGGGGGGGAATTGGGGACACCCCAATGGGGACACCCCAAACCCCTCCTGGGGGGGCACTCTGAGGTCACCCCAAACCCCCTCCTGGGGGGCACCCCGGGTCACCCCTCAGACCACCCCCAAAAGCCATCCCGGGGGCATCAGGGTCACCCTGGGGAGGGTCTCAGGGGTCCTGGGGGATGGTTCCTGTGGGTGGGAGAGATGCGGGGGTCCCAGGAGGGTCCTGGGGAGAGGGGAGGTGAGAGGGGTCCCGGGGGGTTACTCGTCGGTGGGGAGGTCCGGGGGTTACCATGGTGTGGGGGTCCCAGGGGGCTTACCATCGGTGGGGAGGTGCAGGGGGTCCCGAGGGTGGGGGTTACCATCGGTGGGGGAGGTGCGGGGGGTTACCATGGGTGGGAGATGTGGGGGGTCCCAGGGGGTTTACCATCAGTGGGGAGGTGGGGGGTCCGGGGGTTACTGTCGGTGGGGGGATTTGGGGAGGGTCCCAGGGGTTACCATCAGTGGGGAGGTGGGGGGTCCCAGGGGTTACCATCAGTGGGGAGGTGGGGGGTCCCAGGGAGTTACCGTCGGTGGGGGATGTGGGGGTCCTGGGGGGATTACCGTCGGTGGGGGATGTGGGGGGTCCCGGGGGTATTACCGTCAGTGGGGGAGGTGCGCAGGCGGCGGCAGAGCCCCTGGACGTCCCCGAAGTCCTCGCGGACCCTCATCAAGGCCTCGGCGCCGCGAAGCTCCATCAGCGCCCGCAGCTCCAGCAGCCCCACCCCGAAACCCCCCCCAGCGCTGCCCGAGTCCCCCATGGCGGCCTGCGGGGACACGGGGACACCGCTGGGGACACGGGGACACCGCGGGGGACACGGGGGGACACGGGGACACCGCTGGGGACACAGGGGACACCGCTGGGGACACGGGGACACCACTGGGGACACGGGGGGACACGGGGACACCACTGGGGACACGGGGACACCGCTGGGGACACGGGGGGACACCGCTGGGGACACGGGGGACACGAGGGACACCACTGGGGACACAGGGGACACCGGGGGACTGAGGGACACGGACACTGGGGACACAGGGGACACGGGGACACTGGGGACACGGGGACACCGCTGGGGACACAGGGGGACACCACTGGGGACACAGGGGACACCGCTGGGGACACGGGGGGACACACGGGGACACCGCTGGGGACACGGGGGACACGGGGACAGGAGGGGACACGGGGACACCGCACAGGGGACAGGGCTGGGGACACGGGGAGACACTGGGGACACCACTGGGGACACAGGGACACCGCTGGGGACACGGGGACACCACTGGGGACAGGGGGACACTGCTGGGGACACGGGGACACGGGGACACCGACATGGGGACACGGAGGACACGGGGACAGAGGGGGACACAGGGGGACACAGGGGGACACGAGGGACACCGCTGGGGACACAGGGGACACCGCTGGGGACAGGGGGGACACGGGGACACACGCTGGGGACACGGGGACACCACTGGGGACACGGGGGACACAGGGGACACCACTGGGGACACGGAGGGCACACTGGGGACTGGGGACACGGGGACACCGCTGGGGACACGAGGGGACACGGGGACAGGAGGGGACACAGCTGGGGACACAGGGACACCACGGGGGACACGGGGACTGAGGGACACGAGGGACACCTGGGACATGGGGGACACCACTGGGGACACGGGGACACTGCTGGGGACAGGGGGACACGGGACAGGGGGACGTGAGGGACAGGGGACACCGCTGGGGACAGGGGGACATGAGGGGACACCGATGGGGACACAGGGGACACTGGGGACACCACTGGTGGACAGGGGATGTGAGGGGACAGGGGACACCGCTGGGGACAGAGGGGACATGAGGGGACAGAGGGGACAAGGTTGGGGACAGGGGAATGTAGGGGACATGGGGACACTGCTGGGGACAGGGGGACATGAGGGGACAGAGGGGGACACGGGGACACTGCTGGGGACAGGGGGATGTGAGGGGACAGGGGACACCGCTGGGGACAGGGGGACACAGGGACACTGCTGGGGACACCACTGGTGGACAGGGGATGTGAGGGGACAGGGGGACACCTCTGGGGACAGAGGGGGACACGGGGACACTGCTGGGGACAGGGGGGGATACCTCACATGGACTGTGGGGACGTGGGGGGGGGACATCACTGGGGGCACCGTTGGGGACAAGGGACATCATTGGGGACATCGTGGGGGACCTGGGGACACCTGGGGACATTCTTGGGGACACTGGGGACACTTGGGGACATTTGGGGACACTGTTGGGGACATTGGGGACACCGCCCCCCCCTCACCTGTCAGCGGTGGCGGGGCCTGGGGGGGGTCTCGCCGGGGGGGGCCCGGCCACCCCCCCTGCCCGGGGCACCCCTGGGGACAGCACAGGTGGCACTGGGGGACAGCGGGGACACGGTGGGGACATGGAGACCACCCCCGGCTCCCAGTAACTCCCAGTAACTCCCAGTAACACCCAGTAACCCCCAATAAACCCCAGTGACCCCTGGTAACCACCAGTAACTCCCAGTAACACCCAGTAAACCCCAGTAACACCCATAACACCCAGTGACCCCCAGTAAACCCCAGTGACCCCTGGTAACCACCAGTAACAACCAGTAACCACCAGTGACACCCAGTAACCCCTGCTAACCACCAGTAACTCCCAGTAAACCCCAGTAACAACCAGTAACCACCAGTGACACCCAGTAACCCCTGCTAACCACCAGTAACTCCCAGTAAACCCCAGTAACAACCAGTAATCACCAGTAACAACCAGTAAACCCCAGTAACCCCTGGTAACCACCAGTAACAACCAGTAAACACCAATAACTCCCAGTAAACCCCAGTAACCCCCAATAAACCCCAGTGACCCCCAGTAAACCCCAGTAACCACCAGTAACCCCCAATAAACCCCAGTGACCCCTGGTAACCACCAGTAACAACCAGTAACCACCAGTGACACCCAGTGACCCCTGGTAACCACCAGTAACTCCCAGTAAACCCCAGTAACAACCAGTAATAACCAGTAAACCCCAGTAACCCCTGGTAACCACCTATAAACACCAGTAATCCCCAGTAACCACCAGTAACCCCTGGTAACCGCCAGTAACTCCCAATAAACCCCAGTAACAACCAGTAACCACCAGTGACACCCAGTAACCCCCAGTCTCTCCACTTCCCCCAGTAACACCCAGTAAACCCCAGTAACTTCCAGTAACCCCCAATAAACCCCAGTAACACCCAGTAACCCCCACTAAACCCCAGTAACTCCCAATAACGACCAGCAATTACCAGTAACCCCCAGTAAATCCCAGTAACTCCCAATAACCACCAGCAATCACCAGTAACCCCCAGTCTCCCCAGTTCCTCCCAGTCGCCCCCATCTCCCTCCGTCCAGGCTCCGCCCCCCCGCAGCCGCAGCCAATGAGCGTGCGGAGGGGGCGTGGCCATCGCGGAGGCCCCGCCCCCGGCCCTGCGGCGGCGCGCGGACTGCGCCAATCGGGGGGCGGGGCCTCCACGCCCATAAATGGGTAAAGCCCCGCCCCCTCGGGAACCAAGCCCCGCCCACAGGACGCGGGAAAGCCACGCCAGGTGCGCCGTAAGCCACGCCCACTGCGCTGTAAGCCCCGCCCACTCAATTCAAGCTCCGCCCCAGTACATCCCAGTAACACCCAGGAACTCCCAGTGACCCCAGTGATTTCCAGTTACTTCAGTGGATCCCGGTAACTCCCGGTAACTCCCAGTAACTGCCAGAAACTCCCAGTATACCCAGGAACTCCCAGTAAATCCCAGCAACCCCCAGTGGTCCAAGTAACTCCCATTAACTCCCAGCAACTCCCAGTGTCCCCAGTAACTCCCAGTAAATCCCAGTAACCCCCAGTATCTCCCACTAACTCCCATTGCCCCCAGTAAATCCCAGTATACCCAGTAAATCCGAGTAACTCCCAGTGCTCCCAGTAACTCCAGTAACTCCCAGTGTCCCCAGTAACTCCCATTAACTCCCAGCAACCCCCAGTGCTCCCAGTAACTCCAGTAACTCCCAGTAACTCCCATTAACTCCCAGTAACCCCCAGTGTTCCCAGTAACTCCCAGTAATTCCCAGTAACTTCCAGTGCCACCAGTGGATCCCAGTTCCTGCTCACACCTGGTCCTGACACACCTGCACACGTGTGTGCCTGACACACCTGCACATGTGTGTGCCCCTGACACACCTGCACACACGTGTGTGCCCCTGACACACCTGCACACGTGTGTGCACCTGACACACCTGCACATGTGTGTGCCCTGACACACCTGCACACGTGTGTGCCCCTGACACACCTGCACATGTGTGTGTACCCAACACACCTGCACACGTGTGTGTGCCCCTGACACACCTGCACATGTGTGTGCACCCCTGACACACCTGCACATGTGTGTGCCCCTGACACACCTGAACACGTGTGTGCACCCCTGACACACCTGCACACGTGTGTGTGCCCCTGACACACCTAAACATGTGTGTGCACCCCTGACACACCTGCACATGTGTGTGCCCCTGACACACCTGCACACACGTGTGTGCACCTGACACACCTGAACACGTGTGTGCACCCCTGACACACCTGCACACGTGTGTGCCCCTGACACACCTGAACACGTGTGTGCACCCCTGACACACCTGCACACGTGTGCACCCCTGACACACCTGCACATGTGTGTGCACCCCTGACACACCTGAACATGTGTGTGCCTCTGACACACCTGCACACGTGTGTGTGCCTGACACACCTGCACACGTGTGTGTGCCCCTGACACACCTGCACACGTGTGTGCACCCCTGACACACCTGCACATCTGTGTGCCCCTGACACACCTGAACATGTGTGTGCACCCCTGACACACCTGAACATGTGTGTGCACCCCTGACACACCTGAACATGTGTGCACCTCTGACACCTGCACAGTGTGTGCCCTGACACACCTGCACATGTGTGTGTGCCTGACACACCTGTACATGTGTGTGCACCCCTGACACACCTGCACACGTGTGTGCACCCCTGACACACCTGCACACGTGTGTGTGCCCTGCACACCTGCACATGTGTGCCCTGACACACCTGCACACGTGTGTGCCCTGACACACCTGCACATGTGTGTGTGCCTGACACACCTGCACATGTGTGTGCCCCTGACACACCTGCACACGTGTGTGTGCGCCCCTGACACACCTGCACACGTGTGTGCCCATGACACACCTGCACACGTGTGTGTGCCCCTGACACACCTGCACACGTGTGTGCACCCCTGACACACCTGCACACGTGTGTGCACCCCGACACACCTGCACGCATGTGTCCCTGACACACCTGCACACGTGTGCCCCTGCACACCTGCACATGTGCGAGTCCCTGCACACTGCCATGTGCCCCCCCCAACGGGTTCCCACCTGTCCAGGTGGTCCCCTCACCCCCCACCACTCCCAGTGCCCCCCAGTAACTCCCAGTGCCCCCAACACACGTGTGTGACCCCCAACAAACCAACACACGTGTGTGACCCCCCTTCCCCACGACCTTGCCCCCTCCCCGGCGGTCACACCTGTCCAGGTGTTCCCCTCACCCTCCCCACTCACACCTGGGCACTCCAGTGCCTCCCAGTAACTCCCAGTGCCCCCCAGTAACTCCCAGTGCCCCCCAGTAACTCCCAGTGCCCCCAACACACGTGTGTGACCCCAACAAACCAACACACGTGTGTGACCTCTCCCCCTTCCCCACGACCTTGTCCCCCTGGGAGTCACACCTGTCCAGGTGGTCCCCTGACCCCACCACTCACTTCCAGTGCCCCAGTAACTCCCAGTGCCTCCCAGTAACTCTCAGTGCCCCCTAGTAGCTCCCAGTGCCTCCCAGTAGCTCCCAGTGCCCCCCAACACACGTGTGTGACACCCCCTTCCCCACGACCTTGTCCCTCCCCCGGGGTCACACCTGTCCAGGTGTTCCCCTCACCCTCCCCACTCACACCTGGGCACTCCAGTGCCCCCAGTAACTCCCAGTGCCCCCAGTAACTCCCAGTGCCCCCCAACACACTGACACACGTGTGTGACACCCCCACCTTCCCCCACGACCTTGCCCCCCTCCCGTGGGAGTCACACCTGTCAGATGTTCCCCTCACCCTCCCCACACCTGGGCACTCTGGTGCCCTAGTACTCAGTGCCTCCCAGTAACTCCCAGTGCCTCCCAGTAACTCCCAGTGCCCCCAGCACCGTGTGTGACCCCAACAAACCAACACACGTGCGTGTCCCCCCTTCCCCACGACCTTGTCCCCCTCGGGGTCACACTGTCAGGTGTTCCCCTGACCCCACCACTCACTTCCAGTGCCTCCCAGTAACTCCCAGTGCCTCCCAGTAACTCCAGTGCCTCCCAGTAGCTCCCAGTGCCCCCAACACCGTGTGTGACCACCCCTTCCCCACGACCTTGCCCCCCACCCCGGGGTCACACCTGTCCAGGTGTTCCCTGACCCCCCACCACTCACTTCAGTGCCTCCCAGTAACTCCCAGTGCCCCCAGTAACTCCCAGTGCCTCCCAGTAACTCCCAGTGCCCCCACACACACGTGTGTGACCCCCCTTCCCCACGACCTTGCCCCCCTCCCCAGGGTCACACCTGTCCAGGTGTTCCCCTCACCCTCCCCACTCACACCTGGGCACTCCAGTGCCTCCCAGTAACTCCCAGTGCCCCAGTAACTCCCAGCACACCGACACACGTGTGGACACCCCATCCATCCATGACCTTGCCCCTCCCCCGGGGGTCACACCTGTCAGGTGTTCCCCGCACCCCACCAGCACCCTCATCCTCCTCCCTGCCCCCCGCGCCCTCCCAGCCCCGCCCCCTCCCCAAGGCCCCCAATCCGCTCCCCTCCCGCATCCTCCTCCCCACCCTCCATCATCACCCGCATCCTCCCCCTCCTCCTCCTCCTCCCGATGCCACGCAGCTTCCGCCCGCCCCCTCCCCGGTTCCGTTGCCCCCAGCGCCCCACGTGCCCCCCCGTGCCAGGAGCCCCCAGCCCCCCGTGATGTCCCCTCGGTGTCCCCCTCCCCAGTACCGGCCCATCAGGTCCTGGCGCTGCCCGAGGCGCTGCAGGAGGGGCGTGGCCTGCGGGGAGGGGCGTGGCCTGCAGCAAGGACACGCCCCCTCAGGCATGCACAGACACCCCCCCGATCGTCACCCCCCAGGTGCCAGCCCCCAGAGGTTCCCCGAGTGTCACTCCCCCGTGTGTCCACTCCCCCGAGTGTCACCCCCGACTGTGGCCCCCCAGCTCCCCCCAGTGTCACCCCCGTGTGCACCCCCTCAGTGTCACCCCCCGAGTGTCACCCCCAGTGTCACCCCGGTCCCCCGTGTCACCCCCGTGTGTCACCCCCAGGTGTCATCCCCAGTCGTCACCCCCAGTGTCCCCCAGGTCACCCCCGTGTGTCACCCCCGAGTGTCGCCCCCGTGTGTCACCCCCGAGTGTCACCCCAGGTCCCCCGAGTGTCACCCCCAGTGTCACCCCCGAGTGTCACCCCAGTGTCACCCGTGCCACACCCCGTGTGTCCACCCCCCGTGTGTGTCTCACCCCCCAGGCGTCACCCCCCAGTGTCACCCCCGAGTGCCCACCCCCAGTGTCACCCCCAGGTGTCGCCCCCAGTGTCACCCCCAGGTGTCACCCCCAGTGTCACCCCCGGGTCACCCCCCGAGTGTCACCCCCGAGTGTCACCCCCGAGTGTCACCCCCGCGAGTGTCACCCCGAGTGTCACCCCCAGTGTCACCCCGGCTCCCCAGTGTCACCCCCAGTGTCACCCAGTCCCCCAGTGTCACCCCCAGTGTCACCCCAGCTCCCCAGTGTCACCCTCCCAGTGTCACCCCAGGGTCCCGAGTGTCACCCCCGAGTGTCACCCCCGGGTCCCCTTGGTGTCATCTCCCCAGTGTCACCCCCGAGTGTCACCCCCTCGAGTGTCACCCCCTCAGTGTCACCCCCTGAGGCGTCATCCCCCGTGTGTCACCCCAGATGTGACCCCCCGCGTGTCACCCCCAGGTGTCACCCCCGTGTGTCACCCCCAGTGTGACCCCCGGGTCCCCACCGAGTGTCACCCCGCCCCCAGTGTCACCCCTGTGTCCCTCTGGTGTCACCCCTCCTAGTGTCACCTCTGAGTGTCACCCCCTCGTGTCCCCTTGGTGTCACCCCCACTGTCACCCCCCGTGTCCCCCTGGTGTCACCCCTCCAGTGTGTCACCCCCCGAGTGTCACCTCCGAGTGTCACCCCCGTGTGTCACCCCGAGTGTCACCCCCTGTGTCACCCCAGGTCCCCGAGTGTCACCCCGCCCCCAGTGTCACCCCTGTGTCCCTCTGCTGTCACCCCCCACAGTGTCACCCCCAGTGTCACTCCCCCGAGCGTCAGCCCCAGGTCCCCCTAGTGTCACCCCGCCCCCAGTGTCACCCCCTGTGTCCCTATGGTGTCACCCCCCCGAGTGTCACCTCCGGGTGTCACTCCCGTGTCCCCCTGGTGTCACCCCCCACAGTGTCACCTCCCCGTGTCCCCCCCTAGTGTCACTCCCAGGTGTCACTCCCGTGTCCCTCTGGTGCCCCCGTGTCACCCCCAGGTGTCACTCCCGTGTCCTCCCCGTGTCACCCTCCCGTGTCCCCTCCGTGTCCCACACGTGTGTCACCCCCTGTGTCGTCCCGTGTCACGTCCCGTGTCACCTCCTCCTGTTCCCCGAAGTCCCTTCCCCGTGTCACCCCCTGTCCCCTCAGCCCGGGGGTGGGCTGAGCCCCTCCCCACCTTGGGAACACGGGGGACAAGGGGGTGCCTGGAGACAAGGGGACAGGGGATGGGGGACAGGGACACAGGGACGAGGGACAAGGAAGAGGGGACAGGGGGACAGGGGACAGGGGACAGGGGATGGGGGACATGGGGACAGGGGGACAGGGGGATGGGGGGATATTGGGACAAAGGGACAGGGGGATGGGGGACAGGGACACAGGGGGACGGGGGGACAAGGGAAAGAGGGGACAGGGGGACAGGGGAGTTCAAAGGGACAGGGGGACATGGGAGACAGGGGGACATGGGGGACAGGGGACAGGGGGACAAAGGGACATGGGGACAGGGGACAGAGGACATGGGACACAAGGGGACAGAGACAAGGGAACAGGGGTCAGGGGTACATGGGGACAAGGGGACAGGGACACAGGAGGATGGGGGACAAGGGAAAGAGGGGACAGGGGGACAGGAGCATGAGAGCAGGGGGACAGGGGACAGAGACAGGGGACAGGGGACAGGGGGACAGGGGGACAAGGAAGAGAGGGGACAGGGGGACAGGGGAGACATGGGGACAGGGGACAGGGGGACAGGGGGATGGGGGACAAGGGGACATGGGGACAGGGGACAGAGGACATGGGACACAAGGGGACAGGGGGACAGGGGACAGGGAGACAAGGACAGCACTGGGGATGGGGGACACGAGGGTGGGGGGACATGGGGACATCCCATCCCACCCCACACCATCCCATCCATCCCATCCCACCCCATCCCATCCCATCTTCCCCATTCCATCATTCCCATCCCATCCCACCCCACACCATCCCATCCCCTCCCATCCCATCAATTCCATCCCATCCCATCCCATCCCATCCCATCAATTCCATCCCATCCCATCCCATCCATCCATCCCATCCCATCCCATCCCATCCCATCCCATCAATTCCATCCCATCCCATCCCATCCCATCCCACCCCATCCCACCTTCCCAATCCCATCCCATCCCATCTTCCCCATCCCATCTTCCCCATTCCATCATTCCCATCCCCTCCCCTCCCATCCCAACCCCCACGTGCCCCTCCCGTTGGCCCCGCCCCTTTCACGCCTCCCGCCGGCCAATCAGAGCGCGGCGCGAGCCCCTCCCACCCTTTTCCCGCCAATCAGAACGCGACGGGAGGGGGGCGTGGCCAACAACGATGACGTTCTCCCCGGTAGACCACACCCCCTTTCTGTGATTGGCCGATTATCGCCGGACCCCGCGAAGCCACGCCTGTCCATGTGACGTCATACGGTGGGCGGTGCGAAGATTGACATCACCGCTGACCAATCGCAGCGCCGGGAGCTGCCGAGAGCGCTTCCCATTGGCTGAGAGGCCGCGGGGTGGGAGAGGACCCCAGGAGCAGGGTTCTTGAGTCCCCCAAGGGCTGATGGGAACAGAGAGCCCCCGTGAGGGTCGCTGAGAGGGGGGACCCCAAAGCTGATGGAGACCGCTGGGACCCCCTGAGGGGAGGGTGGGGAGAACCCCTGGGGCTGAGGGGAGGGTGGGGACACCCTTCCTGGGGGGACCCCTCCCAAAACCGGTGGGACTGTGGGGGACAATTTGGGGGGACAATGGGGACACCCCGGGGGTGACATTGGGAACCCCCAGAGCCATTGGGACAATGGGGACACCCCGGGGGGTGACATTGGGGACCCCCAGAGCCATTGGGACATCGGGGACACCCCGGGGGTGTCATTGGGGACACCCCCAGAGCCACTGGGACATCGGGGACACCCCGGGGGTGTCATTGGGGACACCCAGAGCCACTGGGACATCGGGGACACCTCAGAGGGTGACATTGGGGACCCCCCCAAACCACTGGGACATGGGGGACACCCCGGGGGAGTCACTGGGGACCCCCAGAGCCACTGGGACATCGGGGACACTCAAGGGGTGTCATTGGGGACCCTCCAGAACCACTGGGACATTGAGGACCCCTCAGGGGATGTCATTGGGGACCCCCCGGAGCCATTGGGACATCGGGGACACCCCGGGGATGTCATTGGGGACCCCCCCCAGAGCCATTGGGACATGGGGGACCCCTCAGGGGGTGTCATTGGGGACCCCCCAGAGCCATTGGGACAATGGGGACACCCCGGGGGTGTCACTGGGGACCCCCAGAGCCACTGGGACAGTGGGGACACCCCAGGGGGGGTCATTGGGGACCCCCAGAACCATTGGGACATCGGGGACACTCAGGGGGTGACACTGGGGACCCCCCCAAACCACTGGGACATTGGGGACAACCCGGGGGTGTCACTGGGGACAACCCCCAACCAGTGGGACATCGGGGACCCCTCAGGGATGACATTGGGGATCCCCCAGAGCCATTGGGACATCGGGGACACCCCGGGGGTGTCACTGGGGACCCCCAGAGCCACTGGGACATGGGGGACACTCCGGGGGTGTCATTGGGAACCCCCAGAGCCACTGGGACATCGGGGACACCCCTGGGGTGTCATTGGGGACCCCCCCAGAGCCATTGGGACATCGGGGACCCCTCAGGGGTGTCACTGGGGATCCCCCCCAGAGCCACTGGGACATCGGGGACACTCCGGGGGGTGTCGTTGGGGACCCCCAGAGCCATTGGGACATCGGGGACCCCTCAGGGGGTGTCATTGGGGGCCCCCAGAGCCACTGGGACATCGGGGACACCCCGGGTGTGTCACTGGGGACCACCAGAGCCACTGGGACATCGGGGACACCCCGGGGATGTCACTGAGGACCCCCTCGAGCCACTGGGACACTGGGGACACCTCAGGGTGTGTCACTGGGGACCCCCCCAGAGCCACTGGGACATCGGGGACACCCCGGGGGGTGACATTGGGGACCCCACCAGAGCCACTGGGACATGAGGGACACCCCTGGGGTGTCATTGGGGACCCCCAGAGCCATTGGGACATGGGGGACACCCCTGGGGTGTCATTGGGGACCCCCCAGAGCCACTGGGACATCGGGGACACCCCGGGGGTGTCATTGGGGACCCCCTAGAGCCACTGGGACATCGGGGACCCTCAGGGGGTGTCACTGGGGACCCCCAAACCATTGGGACATGGGGACACCCTGGGTGTCATTGGGGACCCCCCAGAGCCACTGGGACACTGGGGAAACCCCGGGGGGTGTCACTGGGGACCCCCCAGAACCACTGGGACATCGAGGACCCTCAGGGGGTGTCACTGAGGACCCCCCCGAGCCATTGGGACATCGGGGACACCCCGGGGGGTGTCATTGGGGACCCCCCGAACCATTGGGACATGGGGGACACCCCGGGGGTGTCATTGGGGACCCCCCAGAGCCACTGGGACATCGGGGACACTCCGGGGGGTGACGTTGGGGACCCCCAGAGCCATTGGGACATCGGGGACCCCTCAGGGGGTGTCACTGGGGACCCCCAGAGCCATTGGGACATCGGGGACACCCCGGGGGTGTCATTGGGGACCCCCTCAAGCCTTTGGGACAATGGGGTCACCCCGGGGGTGTCATTGGGGACCCCCCAGAGCCACTGGGACATCGGGGACCCTCAGGGGGTGTCACTGGGGACCCCCTCAAGCCTTTGGGACATGGGGGACACCCCGTGGATGTCATTGGGGACCCCCCCCAAACCACTGGGACATTGGGGACACCCCGGGGGAGTCACTGGGGATCCCCCCCAGAGCCACTGGGACATGGGGGACACCCCGGGGGTGTCATTGGGAACCCCCCCAGAGCCACTGGGACAATGGGGACACCCCGGGGTGTCATTGGGGACCCCCCCGAGCCAGTGGGACATGGGGGACACTCCGGGGGGTGACGTTGGGGACCCCCCTGGGTGATGGGACCCCCACACCCCACTGGGACCATCGGGGACACCCAGGGGGTGACATTGGGGACCCCCCAGAGCCATTGGGACATCGGGGACATTCAGGGGGCGTCATTGGGGACCCCCAGAGCCACTGGGACATGGGGGACACCCCGGGGGTGTCCTTGGGGACATGGGGGACCCCTCAGAGATGTCATTGGGGACCCCCAGAGCCACTGGGACATCGGGGACACTCAGGGGGTGTCCTTGGGGACATGGGGGACCCCTCAGGGATGTCGTTGGGGACCCCCCAGAGCCACTGGGACATCGGGGACCCCTCAGGGGTGTCACTGAGGACCCCCAAACCACTGGGACATGGGGACCCCCCCGGGACCGCGGCGGGGGGCTGTGGGGGTTTGGGGACAAGGTGTCGAGGCGTGTCAGGAGGTACAAAGCTTTATTGGGGGGGGGCTCGGGGGGGTCCCTACGCGGGCGACACGGAGGAGTTGGACACGGAGGAGACCTCGGTGCGCGAGGTGGACACCTCGGAGCCATCGTCCACCTTCTTCCCGAAGAGCTGCAGGATGCAGTTCCGGAACTGCAGGAGGGGGGACAGGGGGGACACGGGGTCAGGCGACACCGGGGACACGTCCTGTGTCACCCCCGGCCCTGTGTCACCCCCCCCGGCCCCAGAGACCTCCTGGAGGGGGGAAATGGGGAAAGGGGGAAATGGGGAATTGGGAAAATAATGGGGAGAGGGAGGAGGGGAGGGGATCCTGGGCTGGGGATGGAGGGGCACAGAGGGGACACAGGGTCAGGGGACACCGGGGACATCTCCTGTGTCACCCCTCCCCGGCCCCAGAGACCTCCTGGAGGGTGAAATGGGAAAGGGAATTGGGGAAATAATGGGAGAGGAAATGGGGAGGGGATCCTGGGCTGGGGATGGGAGGCACAGGGTGACATGGGTCAGGCGACACCGGGGGACACCTCCCTGTGTCACCCCCCCGGCCCTGTGTCACCCCCCCGGCCCCAAAGACCTCCTGGAGGGGGGAAATGGGGAATGGGGGAATTGGGGAAATAATGGAGAGGGAGGAGGGGGAGGAGGAGGAGGGTCCTGTACTGGGTATGTGGTTCAGGAATGGGGGAGGAGGACACGGGGACACGGGTCAGGCGACACCGGGGGACATCTCCCTGTGTCACCCCCCCCGGCCCCAGAGACCACCTGGAGGGGGGGAAATGGGGAATGGGGGAATTGGGGAAATAATGGAGAGGGAGGAGGGGGAGGGGGATCCTGGGCTGGGGATGGGGGGGGACAGGGGGACACGGGTCAGGCGACACCGGGGGACATCTCCCTGTGTCACCTGTGCCACCTGTCCCTCCTCGGTGTCACCTGTGCCTGCCTGTTCTGTGTCCCAGCTCTGAGCCCTGTGTGTCCCTCCAGGTGTCCCCAGGTGTTCCCAGATGTCCCCCAGGTGACCCCAAAGCCCCCAGGTGTCTCAGATGTCCCCAAGTGTCCAAACCTCACCTGTCTGTTCATGAAGACGTAGGTGATGGGGTTGTAGGTGGTGATCCCTGTCCCTGTCCCTGTCCTATGTCCCTGCTCTATCTCCTGTCCCAAAGCCCCCAGGTGCCCCAGGTGTCTCAGGTGTGTCCCCAGCTATCTCAGGTGTGTCCCCAGGTGTCCCCAGGAGCCCCCAGGTGAGTCCCTCACCTGTCTGTTCATGAAGACGTAGATGATGGGGTTGTAGATGGTGATCCCTGTCCCTGTATCCCCTGTGTCCCCTGTGTCCCCTGTGTCCCCTGTGTCCCCAGCTGTCTCAGATGTGTCCCCAGGTGTCTCAGGTGTGTCCCCAGCTGTCTCAGGTGTGTCCCCATGTGTCTCAGGTGTGTCCCCAGGTGAGTCCCTCACCTGTCTGTTCATGAAGACGTAGATGATGGGGTTGTAGATGGTGAGCCCTGTCCCTGTATCCCCTGTGTCCCCTGTGTCCCCTGTGCCCCCAGGAGCCCCCAGGAGCCCCCAGGTGAGTCCCTCACCTGTCTGTTCATGAAGATGTAGATGATGGGGTTGTAGATGGTGAGCCCTGTCCCTGTATCCCCTGTGTCCCCTGTGCCCGCAGGTGTCTCAGGTGTCCCCCAGGAGCCCCCAGGAGCCCCCAGGTGAGTCCCTCACCTGTCTGTTCATGAAGATGTAGATGATGGGGTTGTAGATGGTGAGCCCTGTCCCTGTCCTATGTCCCTGCTCTATCTCCTGTCCCAAAGCCCCCATGTGTCTCAGGTGTGTCCCCAGCTGTCTCAGGTGTGTCCCCAGGTGAGTCCCTCACCTGTCTGTTCATGAAGACGTAGATGATGGGGTTGTAGATGGTGATCCCTGTCCCTGCTCTATCTCCTGTCCCAAAGTCCCCAGGTGTCCCCAGGTGTCCCCAGCTGTCTCAGGTGCCCCCAGGTGAGTCCCTCACCTGTCTGTTCATGAAGACGTAGATGATGGGGTTGTAGATGGTGATCCCTGTCCCTGTCCCTGTCCCTGCTCTATCTCCTGTCCCAAAGCCCCCAGGTGCCCCCAGGTGCCCCCAGGTGCCCCCATGTGTCTCAGGTGTGTCCCCAGGTGAGTGCCTCACCTGTCTGTTCATGAAGACGTAGATGATGGGGTTGTAGATGGTGATCCCTGTCCCTGTATCCCCTGTGTCCCCTGTGCCCCCAGGTGTCCCCAGGTGTCTCAGGTGCCCCCAGGTGCCCCCAGGTGCCCCCAGCTGTCTCAGGTGCCCCTAGGTGTCTCAGGTGCCCCCAGGTGAGTCCCTCACCTGTCTGTTCATGAAGACGTAGATGATGGGGTTGTAGATGGTGAGCCCTGTCCCTGCTCTATCTCCTGTCCCAAAGCCCCCAGGTGTCCCCAGGTGTCCCCAGGTGTGCCCAGTGTCCCCCAGGTGCCCCCAGCTGTCTCAGGAGCCCCCAGGTGAGTCCCTCACCTGTCTGTTCATGAAGACGTAGATGATGGGGTTGTAGATGGTGATCCCTCTCCCTGTGTCCCCTGTATCCCCTGTATCCCCTGTGTCCCCAGCTGTCTCAGGTGTGTCCCCAGGTGTCTCAGGTGTGTCCCCAGGTGAGTCCCTCACCTGTCTGTTCATGAAGACGTAGATGATGGGGTTGTAGATGGTGGCTGACTTGGCGAAGTAGGCGGGCAGGGCTGCGGCCAGCGGGTGGAAGGAGTAGCCGGGGTTGGCGGCGGCGAAGCAGGCGAAGAAGGTGTAGGGCCCCCAGCACACGATGTAGGCCAGGATCATCACCACCACCATCCGCGACACCTCCCGCTCCGCCTTCTGCGTCGACTCCGACTCCTTCTGCTGGGCGGCCACCTGGGGGGCACGGGGGGGTGTCAGAGGGGAGGTGGGGGCAGGTGGACCCCCGTAGGGCAGCTTGGGGCACGGGGAGTCAGACAGGAGATGGGGGTGTCAGAGGGGGAGGGAGGGGAGATGGGGGCAGATGGACCCCCATAGGGGCTTTGGGTGGGAGCACGGGGGTGTCAGAGGGGAGATGGGGGCAGGTGGACCCCCATAGGGAGCTTGGGGGAGTGCACAGGGGGTGTCAGAAGGGAGGGAGGGGAGATGGAAGGGCAGGAGGGGAGATGGACCCCCGTGGGGGCTTTGGGGGGAGCACAGGGGAACTTTGGGGTAGCACAGGGGGTGTTGAGAGGGAGATGGGGGCAGATGGACCCCCATAGGGGCTTGGGGGCACAGAGGGGTGTCGAGGGGAGGAGGGGAGATGAGGGGCAGATGGACCCCATAGGGAGCTTAGGGGGGCACAGGGGTGTCAGACGGGAGATGGGAGATGAGGATGGACCCCATAGGGGGCTTGGGGGCACAGGGGGGTGTCAGAGCAGGACGGGAGATGAGGGGGCAGGTGGACCCCACGGGGGCTTTGGGGAGGCACAGGGGCGTCAGAGGGATATGGGGAGATGGGGGGCAGATGGACCCCCATAGGCTAGGGGCTCTGAGGGGTGTCACAGGAGAGGTCAGAGCAGAGGAGATGGGGGAGGCAGGGGAGGGGAGATGGGAATGCGAGAGGGGAGATGGACCCCGTGGGAGGCTTTGGGGGGCACGAGGAGCTTTGGGGCAGCAGAGGGGGTGTCAGGCGGGAGAGCTGGGGGAGATGGGGGTACAGATGGACCCTGGGAGACTTGGGGGGCACGGGGGGGTATTGGAAGGAGGTGGGGGGCAGGAGGAGGCAGATGGGGTCTGAGGGGGGCGGGAAGGAGAGATGGACCCCAGTGGGACTCTGGAGGGGCCCCGTGGGGCTTTGTGGGGGTGGGGACCGTCCTGGGATTCTCCAGGGTGTTTTTGGGGTCCTTTAGGGCACCCCCATGGAGCTCAGGGGTCTCCCTGGTCTCTTTGGGGTCAGAGCTCCCTTGGGGGGGTCCCGGTGGTCCTAGGGGGGTTCCTGGAGGTTCCAGGGCACCCCCTGGGCTGGGGGCAGTGTCTCTGTGGGGTCAGAGCTGTCTTGGGGCGTTCCGGTGGTCTTAGGGGGGTTCCTGGAGGTTCCAGGGCACCCCATGGGCTGGGGTGGGGTCTCTCCAGGTTTCTTTGGGGTCAGAGCTCCCTTGGGGGGAGGTCCGGTGGTCCCAGGGGTTCCTGGAGGTCTCAGGACACCCCATGGGCTGGGGTGGGGTCTCCCCGGGTTTCTTTAGGGTCTGAACTCCCCTCGGGGGTCCCGGTGGTCCCGGGGGGTTCCTGGAGGTTCCAGGACACCCCATGGTTTGAGGTGGGGTCTCCCCGGGTTTCCTTAGGGTCTGAGCTCCCTTGGGGGGTCCCGGTGGTCCCGGGGGGTTCCTGGAGGTTCCAGGGCACCCCATGGGCTGGGGTGGGGTCTCCCTGGGTCTTTTTGGGGTCTGAGCTCCCTTGGGGGTCCCGGTGGTCCCAGGGGGTTCCTGGAGGTTCCAGGGCACCCCATGGTTTGGGATGGGGTCTCCCCGGGTCTTTTTGGGGTCAGAGCTCTCTTGGGGGGTCCCGGGGGGGTTCCCGGAGGGAGGTCCCAGATTCCAGGGTATCCCATGAGCTGGGGGGTTCGCCCCTGGTTTCTCTGGGGTCAGAGCTCTCCTGGGGGTCCTGGTGGTCCCGGGGGGGTTCCCGGAGGTTCCCGGGCACCCCATGGCTGGGGTGGGGTCTCCCTGGGTTTCTTTGGGGTCTGAGCTCCCTTTGGGGGGTCCCGGTGGTCCCGGGGGGGTTCCTGGAGGTGTTCAGGGCACCCATGGTTTGGGGTGGGGTCTCCTCGGGTCTCTTTGGGGTCAGAGCTCCCTTGGGGGGGTCCCGGTGGTCCCGGGGGGGTTCCTGGAGGTTCCAGGGCACCCCATGGGCTGGAGTGGGGTCTCTCCAGGTTTCTTTGGGGTCAGAACTCCCTTGGGGGGGTGGTCCCAGGGGTCTCAATGGTCTCTCGAGGGGTGGGGGTGGTTCGTGAGTTCCTGGTGGTCTCAGGGGGTCCCGGGTGGGGGTTGGTTCGTGAGTTCCTGGTGGTCTCAGGGGGTCCCGGGGAGTTGGTTCGTGAGTTCCTGGTGGTCTCAGGGGTCCCAGGTGGGGTGGTTCGTGAGTTCCTGGTGGTCTCAGGGGGTCCCGGGGGGGTGGTTTGTTGGGGGAAGGGGGGTCCTCACCGCCCGGATGGCGAGCCAGACTTGCAGGTAGCAGAAGATGATGATGGCCAGGGGGATGATGCAGCAGGTGATCATCAGGACCACCATGTAGGACTGGACCCCCGGGTCGCTGCTGCCGCTGAACACGTCGGGGCCGCAGGACGTTTTCAGCCCGTGGGGCCACTACCTGGAGGGGGGACACACAAAAAGGGTCAGCGGCGCCGAGGAGACCCCAAACCACCCCCCAGGGTAGATTGCCCCCAACCTGCTCCAGCCGAAGATGGGGGCGCGGTCCAGGCGCAGGACCAGATCCAGGAGAAGAGGATCCCGGCGATCGCCAGCTTCCCGTCGAACTTGATGTTGCCGAAGGGTTTGCACACCACGAACCAGCGCTCCCACGAGATGATCACCAGCGACCACAGCGCTGTGATGCCTGAGGGGGACAGGGGGCGGGGAGAGGGTTGGGGAGCTGCCCCATAGCCCCCAGACCCACAGAGACCTGTAGAGCCCGGCCCTAGAGCCCCCAGACCCACAGAGACCTGTAGAGCCCGGCCCTAGAGCCCCCAGACCCACAGAACTCAGGCTCCTATAGCCCCCAGACCCACAGAGACCTGTAGAGCCCAGCCCTATAGCCCCCAGACCCACAGAGACCTGTAGAGCCCAGCCCTAGAGCCCCCAGACCCACAGAGACCTGTAGAGCCACACCCTATAGCCCCCAGACCCACAGAGAACTGTAGAGCCCGGCCCTAGAGCCCCCAGACCCACAGAACTCGGGTCCTATAGCCCCCAGACCCACAGAGAACTGTGGAGCCCGGCCCTAGAGCCCCCAGACCCACAGAACTCGGTCCTATAGCCCCCAGACCCACAGAGACCTGTAGAGCCCGGTCCTATAGCCCCCAGACCCACAGAACTCGGTCCTATAGCCCCCAGACCCACAGAGACCTGTAGAGCCCGACCCTAGAGCCCCCAGACCCACAGAGACCTGTAGAGCCCGGCCTTATAGCCCCCAGACCCACAGAACTCGGTCCTATAGCCCCCAGACCCACAGAGACCTGTAGAGCCCAGCCCTAGAGCCCCCAGACCCCACAGAACCTCGGGACCCTATAGCCCCAGACCCACAGAGATACAGTAGAGCCTCGACCCTAAGAGCCCTAGACCCACAGAACTCGGTCCTATGAGCCCCAGACCCACAGAGACCTGTGGGCCCGACCCTAGAGCCCCCAGACCC